TGGAAGCTAGGTTATTGATAAGAATGCTTTTTCCCTGTAAGTCACTAAGACAATTGTAAACGGAGGGAAACTCAGTCTTGAAGGAGTGTAACCTCTATAGAGGTTACCTAGGGGACAGGTTCGTTGTGGGGAGCCATTTGTTTTTCATTCCCTTAGCTGTAGGGCTGAGGAATGTCACATAGATCCCACCTGGGTGGGGGAGGGGGTCGTCGCGTGTCAGCTTGTGCTGTGTCTTCAGCTTGCCTTCTGCTCCCTCGTCAACCAGGATCTAGAGCAGAAGGGCAACCGCTAGAATGTGAGTTCCCTGAAGGGAGGGCCACTGCCTCTCAGCTTCTAGAGCAGAGCACAGCACGTAGTAGGTGCTTAGCAAGTACAAGCAGAGTGAATGAGTGACTGAGAGCTTGCCCTGGCTAGCACAAAAAGACCGGCTACCTGAGGGCAGGAAAAGAGCACCAGCTTCAAACAGGGAAGGGGTCTGGTTTCCAAGCCTCTGGCAGAGAGTGGTGGAGGCGGGTGTTGTGAGAACCGCATCACTTTTGATTCACATGGGGCCCAGGCAGGAAAGGATCAAAACCCAGTTTGAGAACTTGAGAGTCACCCTGGGGCTCTGTGGTTTGGGAACTGCAGGGTCAACTTGAAGACTGCAGTGTGTCACTATTTCCATTACACATTTTCCAGGGTCCCCACTTGGCTGATAAACTCAGAGTAGATTGCTGTGTCCTGGGAGATGGGAGCAAAGGCTCAGAGAGGTAGGATTTTCAGAGAGCTGCTTGCTGGCAACGGGAAGCCCTGTGGGCCCCGTTGGGTAGTGAGGAAGCTTCCTGTTAAACCAGGTCTTGATTGCATGTGCTGGTGGGGGGGCGAGGGTGAGTAGCACACCCTTCTCCCCAGAATCCCCAGCAGTTTCAGTTGACTCGTGGGACACATATTATTTCTCCCTGCCCTGTGAAGCACATTTTTTTTGTTTTCAAAAAATTTTTTGAATGTGTTTATACAAGTAGTGTTAGAAAGAACAGTGGGATGACCTCCTTCCCCCCTCCCACCTCCCCTCCTCTCCCCAGTGCTTCCCTGAGCCCAGTTAGCAGTTCCTGTGTACTAAGGCAGAATTTTAAATTACGGTCGATTTACTTGCAAATGAGGGATAGGTGAAGTGTGTGCAGGAGATAGGGGTGGGGAGAAGCATCTGGGAGAGGACCGATTCTGGTACCACCCACCAGGCGAGGACTTCTGGATGCACCTAGAATGCAGTGTGCGGGCTCAGGAACTACCCTGCGTTGGTGAGAAGTGGTGCGGTAGGTGCAGTCTTTGAATTTCTGGAAGTTCTCTCTGCTCAGCTGTTTGTACTTGTTTACTTATATTTCTACGATGGTGGATGGTGGCAGAAAGTGATGGTGAAATGTACATGAAGTCCCATTATTATTTGCTATGTTAATTTTCCACTGTCAGCTGGTCTATAGTGGTTAATATTATTGGTTGGATAGCTCGGCCATTTACCTGCTGTGAGATCTGGCCATTACTTAACCTCTCTGAGCCGTGGTTTCCTCATCTGTAAAATGGGAAAGAGATCCATCTGTTGGGGGCTGTTGTGAGGATTAAGGAAAATACGTGAAGTGCCTAAATCTTGTAGGCTCCAAAGGCATTAGTCCTCCCAGTGCTCTTCAGAGGAAGCCAGGTAATTTGGGTATTCAAAAGCACCCAACACAAGGATCTTAGCAAAACATTCAAATCTCTGGCACATCCATTCATCATCTGAGACAGGTGTGCTCAAAATTGGTCCTTCATAAGAAGTGATCCTACATCGTCAGCACTACTACAGCCGGAGGCAGCCTTCCAATCACTACCATCCACACCCTCTTAGAAGCTTTTTAAATGTGTGAGTAGTCTCCCCGGAAAGATTGGTGGTAACAAAGGCACTTTCCTGGCCCCAGGCCTGTGGCTCTTGGGGCTGTCCTTGGACAAATACTGCAAGGTCCTTTGAACTCACTGCCTGCTTTTAGGGGAGGGGATGCCACCCCAGGCACTTTCTAGAGAGGCTGCCTCAGCCTAGCCCTATTATCTGGAAACTTCCACTGCCCCAGCCTGCTCCTGTTCCCCTCCAATCCCGGCACCTCAAGTCCCTGAGACACTACTATATATGGCCTCATGTTTTCTCTCCTGTGATTTCCCCCAGCCCTTCAGCCTGGGTCCTCCCCATTCCAAACCCAATTCAAGCATCTTCTGTTCCTTGTCCAGTTCATTCTTCAGCATCCCCTCACTCAGCACTCCTTAGCTCAAGGTGAAAGAGTTGCTGGCCCTCCTTTCCCTGTCTGGTTCCTCAGCTCCCTTGGGCTATATATAGCATAGCAAATGCCTTAATTCACGCAGCACTTCAAGTCCTAGCCACCTGCCTCTCAACACAATAGAGAGAACAACCCTGAAGCTTCCAGTTAGGGTAAGGAAGGCCAAGAAAGAAAAGAAGGTTGGGGAGGGACAAGGGTATGTTGAATTGGGACCACCCGGAACGTGGCAACATTTCCATCTGTTGTTAGGGACTTTCCACTTCTCCCCCAGCCTGCTCCTCCTTTCCTGACGCTTGCTCATTCTGGAGGAATAGGAGCAGGCCGTGTGCAGGGGGATTCTAACAATCATCTTATTTAATTCTTACAATGATCCTATGGGTAGATGCTACCTTCATTTTACAGATGACGGCATAGACTCAAAAGACAGAGTGGCAAAAGACCAAGTATTCAGAGAGTGGTCATTCAAGCAGCTGACTGACCCCATGTCTGCTTGTGGCCTACACTCCAGATCCATTAAGTCTGTCTGCATCACTCAATTAGACCCTTCTAAATTAGAATTTCTATGAGTGTGACATGACCTGGAAGGAAAAAAGGTTTACTAAGTATATTACTAATGTAGAAATGCTTAAAGAGAAATAATTATTGAAGACTTGGCATAGTAACAAAAATGTTATCGTAATTTATCTTAGTTGTTTACTGAAGTGGTACTCTACAGAAGTCTGTTCTTTGAAGTTTTAGTGTGCTCTCAGAAGTTAAAAGCAATTTTATTTCTTCTGTTTCAAGAGCTTCCCTCCAGTTTACAATCCTTCTCCCATTAGTCCAGAGCAGTGAGATTTGATTTGAGGAACAGTTATTAGTCTGGCTGTTTTTTTCTGTCACTTACTGTGACCTGGAGCAAGACATTTTACCCAAGCCTCAATTTTTCATCCGTGAAATGGGAATAATAGTACCCACCTTAACAGAATTGTGAGGATTAAATAAAATAACCTACTTAAAGCAATGACCACATTTCTGGCCCTGTAGGTGCTCAGAAAATCATAGTAACCATGTGTATTATTCTTTTCTCAATTCTGGGCTGAGAGGCTCCAGGAGCATCAACAGAAGCCCAGCAAGAAGGGAGAACCTCTCAAAGAAGTTGAACTTTGCTCTCCATAGCTTGGCCCCTGTTCTCCAAAGAGCATGAAGTTGATCCTGATTCTTGCTCTGTCTCATCCAGGAATTTCCATCCCCCTGCCTCTGGCCCAGACCATCCATCTCTTGAGAATTCAGGCCACCGTTGGGACCAGGAGAGGCGGCCCAGGAGAGTGTGTGTGAATGACTGAGAGGAGAGTTCCCATGGACGCTGGGGATATGTGAAGGCCCTGGGGAGCTGCTGTGACCCCGGGTCTTTTCCTAGAGCAGTGAGTGCTTGGGGAGAGAAAAGAAAGACTTCAGCTGCTGGACAGATATCCAGGGCTGAAAAGCCCCTTTTGGACAGACACGTGGGGCTGAGGATCTAGGGAAGGAGCAAAGGCCTGGGATGGAGTGGGACTCTCCATAGTGTACTTCAATCTTTGTCCACTTGCTTACAAACAAGAAGGTTCTTTCCTCCTCTTCTCTGAATCCAGGGTGCCACAACTGATCAGCAGTCCTAAGCTTCAGCCTGGATGGAGGGTCTTTGCTTGGTGAGCCGGTGGGAAGCGGACTACAAGTACAGAGCCTAGAGACGGTCAGACCTAGATTCAGATCCTGACATGGCCAAGGGTGGTGCTGTGCACTCTTGGATAAGTCACTGAGCCTCTCAGAAGCTCAGTTCCCGGTCTGTGAACAAACTACTACCTACCGTACAGAACAGTTGGGAGGCCTGAAATGTAAGCACCTCAAACAAAGTAGATGATAATGCAGGTCATTGTCATCTCTGTCCCGAGAGAGCATGAGTGAGCATCTCAGCCCCGCGGGCAGTCCAAGGAGCCCTGGAGACGTGAGGAAGTCCTAGTGGTCATACCCTGGGTGAATCTGCTTGATCTAGAAAGCCTCCTTTGAAGGATCAAGACCACAATTGGGATTTGGGGCATTTTATTTACATCCCACATTGTTCGTGTTTGAAGCAGTGTAGCTTGCAGGAGAACCAAGGATCTCTATCGTTTCTCGCCTCTGTGTTTCCAGCTCTGTTCTCCGTAGCAAGTCCCCGTCTGATCCAGCCCCTTACTGCCATGGGAATTAACAGACTGACTCTAGTTAAGGGCTCCTGCCATCTATCTTTCATTACTTTCCAGTGCTTGGAGCTGCGGTCTGGAACTCAGCAAATGGGGGGTTAAGACTGATGCCCTGGCCTATCTCCTCCCCTCTCCATTCCTGACTTCAAAGTCCCCATTAAAGCTTGCTTCCCTGACCCCACAGTGGCAGCTCCATCATCGGCTCCTGGCCGGTTCAAAACAGCAGATGCTGAGCCCTGGCTGGGCTGTTCGCACTCTACTTTCTAGCCATCTCCTAGGGTAAGCACCAGCATGCTGAGAACCTGTGGGGCCGACAGTCCTCACTCCTCCAGGAGAGAAGAGGCAACTAGGAATGGAGGCCACCTCCCGCAGGGAGGCGGTCTCATGGTCAGACCTAGAAGGCACCTCACAGGCAGAAGCCCTGGTCTGTGGACCAGGACTCTGCTACTCGGTCTAGTTTATGATCAGAGCAGATGTTTACTGGGGTTAGCAAGTAGAGCAATAGGGGTCACCTGCCCAGGGAGGGAGGCAGGGGTTCGGCAATGGCAAAGAACTTGGCAAGAGATGGAAATGGGAGCAGTTCAGGGACCAGAATTAGTTCCATTAGTACTAATGTCCAAAATCTATGCTAAATTATTCACAAATCAATGTCCACTCATTTTAGTCTTTGGCTCTGGTGATTCAGTAACCAGTGCTCTAACACTGGGATGACTCTGGCTCCCTGGGGCCAGATCCCGTTCTGTAGCTCCCTCAGGAACAACCGTCACAGATTCAAGGCCAGTGGGGGTCCCAAGGCTCAAGGCCTGTTCCTCCCACCCTCATCTGCAGATTTTTCCAGCTGCTTTTCTTGACCCAAGGACCACGTAGGGATACAAATGGAAGTTTGGGGACGGGAGGGGAGAGCAGGGAAAAGTGAAGTCAGAATGAGCAGAGGAAGAGGCATATGTTAGAAAGAAGGGATGGGAGAAATGGCACTAGTGGTCCAGCCATCTGACACAGGAGACTTGGGACGTCTTTTCAAGTAGTGACTGTGTTGGGGCATGGTAAGAGAGGGTCTTAGTGGGCAACTCCCTCCTTTCTACCCTAGACTGAGGAGAATCGGAGTTCTTATTATGGGGTTCTTCTTTCTAGGACTGGGCTGAAGCCTCAGAGACCCAGCTGAAAACCCTGGGGCCAGGATCATGTCTGCAAACAAAGGCTGGTGGGCACCACCTGAGGGAGAAGACAGTGTGTCTCAGAAGTTCCTGAGGAAGACCAGGGAGTCTCCACTGGTGCCTGTCGGTGAGTAGGAAAGTAAGGGAAGAGGGCAAGGAGGCAAGAGGGCAAGGGAAGAGGCAAGAGCCCTCAGAGAATGGTCTCCTAGTCTTTTCAAATGAAGCAGAGAACTCAAGTGTTCTGCCCACTGAGCACTCAACAGCCAGGAGAGGATTGAACCAGCAGCAAAGGTGCCAAAGAACAAAGGGACATGCCCGACAAGGAAATGAGGGAGTCTGGACGGGTGGGGTGGAGCCGGTGGCCAACTGAGGGCTTGGGGTACAGGGAAATGTGGGGCATCAACACAGTGTCAGGAGAGGAAGGAGCAGCTTGGGGTCTCCCAGGCCTTCCTTCCTCAGGGTCTTGAGAGCAGGAAAGCGGCTGTGGGAGCCAACAGCGGTTGGAGAAGGGCTGGGGCAGAGCCAGTGGGGGGAGGGGGTTCAGGGTGGGTGACACTGGGGGGAAGCAGCTACTCTGAAAACACCACGGAGTGGAAACAACTCAATATTCGGAGAACGGTCCCCCTCTCCCTCCATGAAGTGGCAGGAAAGCTGGGGTTTATTCCAGATGCCCAGGTTGCCTAGTGAGGGGGTTGCTCATCAGGGGAGGCATGTGAATGGTGACTGAGGCCCAATGGTCACGTTCTCTGCCTACAGGCTTAGGAGGCTGCCTGGCAGTGGTAGCCTACCGGATTTATCGGCTGAAGGCCCGTGGTTCCACCAAGATGTCCATACACCTGATTCACACCCGTGTGGCCGCGCAGGCCTGTGCCGTGGGTGCGGTCATGCTAGGTGAGTGGCTGCTGGGGTCTCAGAACAGAGCTGATTAGGCAAAATCTGGCTGTGAGTCCGGACAGTTAAAGGATTATGATTTTAGTCCCTGTTCCCTATACTGGGCTCCACAGCAAGTCTTGGGTGAAGTCCTCAACCCAAGCCATTTCAGGGTTCCGTTTTATCTCCCATCCCAGGGCCTGTGGGGGTGGCACTCTGTTGGTTTCGTGACAGTCTGTCCTGAGATGAGAGATGAGAAATATCACACAGCAGAACATATGCTGAACTTCTCTTCCTCTCTGGGTCAAGAGGCAGACAGCTCCGGACTAGCTGTGTGACAATGGACAAACGCCCTTCTCTGAGCCTCGGTTGCCCTGACAGGGTGATGAGCACCCTGGCTGGCCCACCTCGCAGGCTGCTGTGGGGCGTCGCAGACAGGTGATCTGCGTGAAGTGCTCTGTGAACTGCCCGTGGGTGTTTCCCTAGGCCCTGTGGCCGCGCGCTGGCGGCAGCGGCTGAGACCGAGAGCAGCAAGACAAGCAGGGAAGCCGGACTCTCAGGGGAATGGCTGGAGTCAGACTCCTGGGCGAGCCAGAGGATGGGTACAGGGTTCGGTGTTATGGGACGTTTTCCCTTCTCCCTCCTGCAGGTGCTGTGTACACGATGTACAGAGACTACGTCAAGAGATCGGCACAGGACCCCGGGGAGAAATAGGACTCCTGGGGCAGCCAGAGCCTCGTCCATCAATCCCTGGTACGTTCCTAATAAAGCAGTTTTGAAGAAAATCAAGTCTCTTCTTCACATGGGGGATAGTAGAGTAAGGGACCGATAGCAGTGTGTGTCTGTGTGTCTGTTTGTGCGTGTGTATGGTTTAGAGAAAGGTTTAGAAGTCAGAGTCCTGGACTGAAGCCCCCAGCCCCAGGGCAAGGGAGATTCTCCAGGGACAAGAGCCTCTGGTCCCAGAAGCCTGACACCTCCCAAGCCAGCCCAGGTGCTAAGCAGAAGGAGGAAAGTAAAGAGGCAAGTGCGGGAGGGGGAAGGGCAGAGGTAAGAAAGGGGCCTCAACATTCACGGGAGCACTGACTAGAGAGACCGGCATCCCTCCCACCACAGGCTGCTGCCCAGGGCATCCAGGCAGGAAGACTGCAGCTGGGAGAAGAGACATAGGAGACGACATATATTCAGAACCCAAGTGGCAGGACCACACTGTGCTGGAGGGAAGGGGATGGGGGTGAAGATGAAAGGAACAGAGCAAGGCAGAGGTCAGAATGTTCTGTTCACTTAAAAATCATGTCTAAGGTCAAACTTTAAAAAAACAAAAAACATTCCATGTAAATCCTGAAGACAGAGCCCCTTGGGGTTAAACACTTCGTCCCCTTCTCCCTCCCGAAGTCCAAGCTCCGCTCTGGTCCCTGGGCATGGAGCCAGGCAGAGGCTGCAGAGGAACTGGGAGGCCAGATACTTCTTCCTTCCTGGGACTCTGGGTCGGAGGGTTTGGGGTGGTTAAAAACGGCCACAGCAGCTCTCTGACGCTGACAACGTGGAGTCCAGGTCCGCCAGGTCTCAGCTTCAAGTGCAGGACACAGCCTGCTGCAGGGTGCAGGGGCCACTGGGAGCCCCAGCACTCACATGGGGTAGTTGAGCACAACATCCTGCTTGGCGAGCTCCAGCAACATGGGGTCATCGAAGAACTTGCTGATGCTTACGTCCTCGCTCAGGCCCTGCAGGAGTGGGGGCGACGCAGGGAAGAGCCCTGTGTGGTGGCTGACAGAGCTGAAGGCCATCTGAGACCCGTGCTGGGGGTGGGGGGGTGGTGCTGGTGCGGGAGAACTCTGGGCCAGCTATTTGAGGAATCGCCAATGGGACGAGATGCTCCCCTGCCAGCCGGACTGGGCCCTGGGTCTGGGGGCCCGAGGGCTGTACAGACCACCTCTCTGCACTGTGTAGTGAACTGTTCCCACTCTTTGGGAAAAAGGTCCCAAAGGAAGAAAGGAAAAGAGATCCAACTCCTGCCAAGAGCCCTGGGGAATGAGGGCTGGCCATGGGCCGGAGGGACGCATACCTTCCTGCGACGGGTTTTGATCATGAATTCCCGGGCCAGGTGAGGAGCAGGTTGTGGCTCCAGGGGGCGGATAACAATGCTCTTGTCCAGAGGATCACCGGGCACAATCTGAAAGGTAAAGTGGTTTCAGGGGGTCTACGACTCTTGTTTAGGATGTTGGAAATCTCACTTGGGGCTTGGAAGGGGAACAGGCCAGAGGGGACTGGCCTTCAACAGGTGGGAGGCCACAGTGGCCGGCCTGCACTGTTTTCTCACCTGCCAATGGTGGAAGACAGACAAGGAAAAGGCTTGCCCTTGGGTGTGAGTCCGCAGATCAGTCTCAAAGCCAAAAGAATCAATGGCAGGGATGAAAGCTTTGATGGTGTAGAGAGGGGAGCCTGGGATGGGTGCATCCTGAGTCACATGCCCCCTGCGACAGAAAAAGAAAGGCTGAGTCCCTTTCCTACGGAGACCAAAAGCAGAGAAAGAATCTGGCCCCAAACGTATCACAACACAGAGTTCCCATCAAAGAAAGAATAACCACAATCATGCTATAGTGGGCGGAAAAGGCTTGGGGCCCTCAGTGTCCTTTCCTGTGGCTGTCAAAGGGGGCAGTGACCGCTAGGCGAGAGTGGAAACGCTGACGAGACAAGGTCCTACAGACATTACCCCCACTGTCACATTTCAGTACTTTCCCCAAGGGCTCTCCAAGGAGAGAGGACCCAAGAAGGAATCTCAAAATTTTTATCTGCGGTGAAGCTGGGGATTGCCTTAAATCTTTCCCACTTCCTTCTGAAGAACCAGCTCAGTGGGTTTTTAGGAACAGAGACTGTGCAGGAGGCCCATCTGCCTCCCCACAGGAGCCCGGTAACTTCTTGCTGTGCTCCTGCTCTCTGCACCCTCCTGGACACGCCATCCCGGTGACTCGCCTGCGCCTGGCCAGGACGGTGTACACAGCGGAGACACAATCCGCAGGGGCCTGGACCTCCACAAAGTAGTAAGGCTCCATCAGACGAGGAGTGGCCTGCAATGGGGCAAGAAAGGCTTCCTCAGCTTGGGGAAGGCTGGGGACCAAGGATCCGGGTAAAGAAAAGACTGGAAGGGCTGTAGTCTTGATGCCCCAAAAGCTTGGACTTCTACCTAACACGCCGCACCAGGTCAGTGCCATCCACTCACCATGAGGAAGGCAGAATAGACGACTCTCCTCGCCGTGGGGATGATTTGGCCCCCGCCCCGGTGCAGGGGCTCTTGGGCAACCACTGCATCCAGGATCTTAAACTTGACATTTCGAATCACTGAAATGGAGATGGGGGAGCTGCTGAGCGAGGAGCAGTTGTGGTACTCGTCAAGGGCCCAAAACAGAGCAGCCAGGAGCCTCTAGCAGCATGGCAGCTGGCTTGAGGCCACACAATCACCCTGCAGATGGGCGTTCTGATAGGGTACCAAGGCCTACAGCATAGCACAGAAGTCAAGCACACATTCTTCGTGTTTGTTTCAGATCATGCTCAAGAATCGTAAAGCCTTCCTAAAAGTTTATGTGTTCTTCTTGCTGTTTAATTGTTTTGGATAAAGGATTTAATTGTTTTGGATAAATGTTTGTTTTTGGATAAAGAATAAATTCGAGGAATTGCACATTGCTTCTCACTAAATCCAATCCTGGTCTATAAACCACTCTGATCCCACCTCCCACCTGATACCCCTCCTCGAACACATTCCTTCTCAGGACTGGGGAGCAAATGTCAGTCTAGGAGTAACTTCATTTCCAGAATGTCCCAAGCAATAGCACTAGGACGGGGAAGGAGGAGGGGAGAGGATGCTGCCCCAGGACGGGGGTTGGCCCTGTGTGTCCCGAGCTGCTTCTCTTGCCAGGGCCCATAGATGAGCCCAACTCACCTCAAATGCCCAGGCACGAGGCCCCTAGAGGGCTGGGGCAGGGGAGGCCAAGGCTCGGGTGGAACTTACGCTCATCACAGAGGGGCCCCTCTCGGGTTCCCCACTGGAAACCTTGAACGATACTGTCCTTCACTGAGCCAAGAAGAGCCTTGTCCACCTGCACAGAACATGAGGGCATGTATGAGCAGTGACCCCGGCAACAACCAGAGTTTAGAGGGAGGAGAAGGTAGGTATACTGGTAAGAAGATTCACCAGAAGCCACAAAACACTTTGGGGAAAAGAAATTACACTTTGTAGTTTCTTCCACTCAACAGCAAAGAAACCAACACAATGGCTCCCACCAGCTCTGCTGTACCTCAGAGGGCAGGGTATCATCCACCAGGATGTTGGGGCCGGTGGCATCAGGGCCAAAAGCCCAGATGGAACGCGCAGCCAGCAGATCCCAATCGTACTTGGTCTGGAAGAATTCTCCGAGTTTCTTCCTGGTGGGGAGGAGGAGACAATGAAGGCATCCAGCAGCTCTGCTGATTCCTGCCTGCTGGGGTCACAGATCCTGCCTTCCTGGAGGACAGTTCGCTTCCCGCTTCCTGGGACAGGTGGGCAGGCTGTGGCGCCTCTTCTCCTTTCAGCCTGGGAACCACAGCACGTTCTCACCTGTTCCACGTGATCTGGACCACCTCGTTCTCTATGTCCTCGGCGAGGCCCTTCTCAAGGGGCTCAGCAATCATGGTGATCTTGTTCCTGGAAATAACGGACACGGGTAGCGATAAAGATCAGCAGGACTCGCAGAAGGGACAGCCCTAAGAAAAGGCTGGCAAGGCACTGACACCAGTAGAAGCCAGAGGGCTAGAGTAGAGCAAAAAGGGTTCATCTTCTGTCTTCTTTCATTCAAATCTATCACTCTTTAAAACAGCGAGCTCTTGGGGCACCTGGCTGGCTCAGTCAGTGCAGCAGGTGGCTCTTGATCTCAGGGGTGTGACTTTGAGCCCCATGCTGGGTGTAGAGATCACTTAAAAATAGAATCTTAAAAAAACAAAAAAAACAGTGGAGCTGCTGCTAGGGCAAAATTTTAAGATGATCATATCATACAGAAAGACAAGGCCACTCATTCTTGGGGTACCTCCAGCAAAGAACCCCACAGCATCATGTCTACAGGCCTAAGGGATGAGAGTGCTGGGGTAAAATTCAAGCATCCTAAGACCCCATCCCAAGGCTTGGGGGTCTCTTTCTCCACAGCGCTTGTGATTAGGGTGGAGAGGCGTGGGGAGAGGAGAGTGTCCCCTGTCCGTCCCAGGGGCACTCGGACCCACCAGCTCAGTTTTTTTTTTTTTAGATTATTTTTTTATTTATTCGACAGATCACAAGTAGGCAGAGAGGCAGGCAGAGAAAGGAGGAAGCAGGCTCCCTGCTGAGCAGAAAACCTGATGCGGGCTTGATCCCAGGACCCTGAAACCATGACCTGAGCTGAAGGCAGAGGCTTTAACCCACTGAGCCACCCAGGCGCCCCCCCCGCCAGCTCACTTCTTATTGGGTGTTTCAGCAAAGCACTTGAGTGAAGATGTTTCCACTACCGTCTCACAAAATGTGACAACAGGATCAGCCACCTGGGGAAACAGAATAAATTGTTAGGCAAGGTCTCAATTTGTTGGAAGGACAATCTTGTGCCAAAGGGAATTCTGAGGTCTACTTGGCACCTTCTCTGTGACAACACTCCGTTCTCAGCGTCGGCAACAAGCCCCACGGCGGTCGCAAAGTGCAGACTGGCACTAAGCAGCCTGAGAAAACCTAGCAGACTGTGGAGTTTGTGTTCCTCAGCCTGGGCATGAGGAACCTGGGCATAAATGATAGTCCCCCAAGGTCTCTTCCAACATCCGTTCAGCCAACCCCCCCACCGCTCACTGAACATCGCGTGGCTCTGTCACTGTGGGCACTAGGGACAGCCTGGCAGGTCCCCGTTCCACTCTCAGACCCTCTCTGAAGCTCCCGCAGGGCCGGCTACTGGGAACCCAGTGTCTTCTAGAGCACCCGACTTCGGCACATCAGGAGAAACGCTTGAGACAGGTACATGAGGGCACCCGCCCCCACCACCACAGGGGCTGGGAGAAAACATGTCTACCAAAAAGGCGCACTTGAACTGAGGGGCTACATCATGACCTGAGAGCAAACTCAGAAGGGCCAGTTCTCACTCCCTGAAACCATCCACAGCCCTCACTGCCAAAGATGGGTTGTGTGACTGTTTTTTTAACAGAAGACCAAGAAAT